CGCCAACACAGAGTATGTCATCTACAATGTCTTCTATACCTTTGAGACCTTGTAAGCTTTCATGGATTCTTCGCTGGTACTCTTCTGGGGCTGTGCTGATTCCAAACGGTAAGCGAAGCCAACGATAACGACCAAAAGGTGTATTGAACGTGGTCAAGAGTGACGACGGTTTGTCTAGCTGAACTTGCCAGAATCCATTCTTTGCATCCAATACCGAGAAGACTTTAGCCTTGCATAGCCTTGTGACCACGTCTTCAATGGTGGGGAGAGGATAATGGGCTCTCAGCTGGGCTTTGTTTATTGACAATCTTGTGGGTCAATACAAATTCGTAACTTCTCTGGCTTGTTGACTAAGACCAAACTAGACACCCAATTAGTAGGTTCTGTAACGGAGGTGATAACTTTCTCTCTGACTAACTTGTCCAGTTCTTCCTTTAGACGGTCTCTCAGTGCTACAGGTACTTTCCTAGGGGGGTGAACAACAGGTTTTACAGTTTCATCAAGTTCCATATGGTACGGGCCATCCATGCATCCTAATCCCTCAAAAACATCACTGTACTCTTTCAAAATTTGATCTCTGGTTAGAACAGTGTGGGCAGTTTGAACCTTGTTTATTAACTGCATTCACAGTTTCTGGTTCTGAAATGTCACTTGTCATGACCCTGATTAAGTTCAGTTCCTGACATGTTTCGGCACCTAATGGAGGTCTGACATCCTCGTCAGTTATAAAGAAATCTGCATCTCTACTCATCTCACCTTTGACACATTTGGGAGTGCACTTTCCAAGGGGAGTCATAGTGGTTCCATTGTACATCTTGAGTATTGCAGATGTTTTCGTCTAATAGAGATCTTTGGGGTTCCCCATAATGCTTGCGAAATCTTTTAGTGATAACAAATTACAAGTTGCTCCACAGTCCAACTGAAATGTAACATCCTTAGCATCATTTACTTTGACTGATGTAAACAACTGTTTTGGGTATTTCTTTTCTTCAACAGCACTGACTTGATACGTTATTAGATCGATAGTATACTCTTCAAATTGACTCTCATCTGAATCTTATTGAACATAATTCAAATGTTGATTGGCATATAAGTTACGACTGGACTGCTTTCCTCCTGTGCACTTCGCGGCAAAATGGTTGCGTTTTCCACACGTTTTACACTGTTGGCCATATGCAGGGCACTTTAATCTGTCTGGTACATGTTTCCTGCCACAAAACTTGCAGTTGATCTGCTAGGTATTTCCGTTTGCTGATTTCTTTTTTTCTTCGTCTTTCTTTCTGGAAAAATTTTCTTTCCTCTTCCCCACTGTATTTACCTCGTGAAGGTTTTGCATTTGTTTCAACTGGCTTTGGGTTGTTTCGGTAGCTCGTGCAATTTCTAGAGCTTTGTTCAGCGTCAAATCTGGGACTTGCAGCAAACGCTCTCTCACGTTGTTATCAACGATTCCAAGCACGATGCGGTCACGTATCAACGAATCTTTCAAATCTTGAAATTCACAAGAGTCCGCCATGTTTCGTAGAACTGTGGCATATTTATCAATGGGCTCTCCACTTTCCTGTCCACGCGAAAATAATAAATACCTCTCGTAAATAGTATTCTTGTGAGGCTCACAATACTGCTCGAAACGCTCCATAACTTTATCCATTTTAACTTTGTCTTCGTCACTGTACCACGTGAAAGCATTGTAAACTTCTAGTGCTTCGTCGCCGATAACAGTGAGAAAAGCTGCTACTCGAATGGGGTCTTCCTTTCTGGCTGTTCCGACAGCGAGCTCATAGTTACTCCCCTTTTGTTTAAATCTTTTCCAATTTTTGAGATACATTTCCACTTGAAAGCTGCAGAGGATCTGGCGGGTTCAACAAACGCCCGGCCGCCATTTCACACCATATATATCACATTGACATATATATCAGCAGTATTGGCCATTACTTCATAAATAACATCACACTAATCACGATCTCTGACCCCCTCATCCAACAGGTTACCAGCGCACCTTAACTTTGGAAGTTTTGTTTTCAACTTTCTGCCAAACATAAGGAACGCAGGAGTAACACCAGTGCTCGTTTGCGGTGTGGTTCTATATGCTAACA